ACTAAAAATATAAATTAAGTACTAAACAACCTTAGAATTAAACCTTAACCACTCCCCGACAATGGCTTCAAAATTTTGATAGAAAATTAATCGCTTATTCTCAAAATTAAACTAAAGCTAATCCTAATGCAATACAAGGCCAACCCTAGGTCATCTCGCAAGGAATGGTCTTAGTATAATTGAAAGTTATCTAGTGGAATAAATTACCCAAATCTGAAGGAGTTTATTTACCTAACTAATTATCTAGTGAATTAAACTAGCAAATTAAACATAATTATGAATGGAATGGAATGGAGTTCCCTTTTAATGTAGGAAACCTAGAGTGTTGTTAATGGAAGAATCCTAGCTTCTAACTAATTATGGCAACTCATTAACTTCTCTTCCTTGACTGAAAAATGTATTTACTTAAGACAACTATCTCAAGTAACCTAGCCACACTAATTCAATTCCCTAAGTGCTATTACAAGCCCCTTAGGTAACCTCACTAGCTTAGCTCAAGAATTAACAAGTTTTTAGTTAAAATTCATTCCCATGCCACTAGCCAAAGCTGTACCTAAGCTCAAAACTATGAAAACTCAAGCAACTCATCAAGTATTCACCACACAATTACATGCTAGGCTAATACAAGATATTCACCCATTGAAATCACATATTACCATGCAAATTCATAGAGTAGATGAAATTCCAGCGGCACATAGGTCATGTAATTCAACTCAAAAATCTTGTTTTAACATTACAAATTACAAACAACCATGTAACTAAAGTCAAATTGAACCACAATCAATAATAGTCATAGTATTCTAATGGAATTAAAACAAGGTGAAGAAATAGTTGAGCTTGGCCAAGTGAAGACTTCAAAACTCCTCTTCCATCAACTCTCCCCTAGGATTCTATGGAGACTATAGCTAGAAAACATCAAGAGCACTTTGCTTCCTCCATGAACACAACTAGGCCATGGCACATGCTTCATGCTTCTTGATGGATTGAGCTTCAAATCCCCTTCTAGTTGCTTGGGGTTGGTTTGGCCTTGAGAGAGGAGAAGAATGGTGGAAGAATTGAGTGGATTTGATGGTGAAAAGAGGGAGAAATGGTGGCTGGATGTGCTGTATTGTAGAGAGAAGGAGGAGAAAATGAAGAACATTAAGAACAAGAGAGAGAAAATGTGGAAGATGAATGAATGAGTATTTGATCTGATTTGAGGGGGTAAATGGCGTGCTCCCCTTTATTTCCCATCAGCTAAGGCTTAATTAAAAAATAAGAAAAGAAATTAAAATGGAAATGGGAGCCTTGTCACACTTGCAAGGTGGCAGCCTCTTATTAGTTTGTAAATGATTCCAATGTATGTGTAATTTCTCATGTGTCATCCACATCATTTAAGATGATTTAATATCCCAAAAATAGCATAAATCATGTGCAAATTCTTAGAAATTGACTTCAAGGAGTGTTGACTTCAATTGCCCAATTGATGCATAAGTCACATGCCACCTATGTCTCATAAATCACATAATTCAATTAAATGGCATGTGATATAATAAAATCTAATTAATGTTCAGAATTGAATTCATAATTAGAAGGGAGATTTATTAAATTAATCAAGTTTCAGTTTCTATAAAATTATATAAAAATTTTTACACAAAGACAAACCGAAAACTAGGTCAAACTAAGACACTTGAGAAGGTATTAACTTTTTTATTTAATTACTCCTAAACTAAAATAAATTTTAAAAATATAATTTCAACACTCATCAACTGGACATAAAATTCACTTTTTTAATTTTTCTTGTACATTTTCTCAAAAGTTCATTTTTTAGACCAAAATGCCCCTAATGCACTGAACCTAGAAACTTAGGCAAAATTTCAAATCTAATACAATGTGTGCACTTGAAGGTTATAAATTATTAATAAAAGGGTCCTAATTGACAAATAAAAGTTGGTAATAAATGTGTTCTATCAGTTTTTAGCCATTGAATATACTTAATCACTCCACTTTGACTCTTCTACTTATTTTCTCAACACTATAAACACATTAACATTCAAATCACACCCTCCATTGTCTATATATTACTCAAGACTAACAAATAAAATTGTCCAGCAACACTAATGTAGAGAAAAGTTCATTGCATCTAACTTATAGATGGCAGAAAAAATTACTCCTAAGTTGAACTTCCGATCCCAATGCAACATTTTAGTCCTAACCACAATTAGAGTATCAAGAATAAAGCATAGGGATCATGTCAGTCAACTAGAAGAAGGAGGGAATGATTCAGCGGTGCCACATAATGTAACAAGGACATAAAGAAAACAATATCTCTCATTAACAAGGCTTAGTGGCAGCAAGTTTGATTCAGCCACTGAATAGCGTTGAAGAAGAAAAAGCTAGGGGTTCAAATCTGTCAACACACGAGGAGGAAGAAACTATGATTCCAGCCAACAATAAAAGAAGCAGCAACCACCTACACCCACACTGAACATCGATGACAGGGAAGGAAGAAAAGAGGAAAAAAAAACTGACCACCGTGTGCACTTAAATTTGACACAAAACAGAGCAAGAGATACCTTTCCATTGTGATTGACAAACGAAGGATGAGGAGAAGAGGAAGGTGACAGCTAAGACAACAAACTGCTGATAGACTCTCGTGGACACAGAACAGCATGATATCATGGGAGAAAATTAGCACCTCGGTTTAACCGTGACTAGCAAATGAGGACGAGAAGGTGAGATGATATAAAGCAACGACAGCCACAAAATGGTCATTTGACAGCGAGTTAAGTGTGTTGATAAGGATTAAAGAAAATGGGCTGACTTAAAGGATCTAGAAGAGTATAGGAAGGCAGTGAGAAAATGAATCTAGGAGCTCTGTTTTCTTCACACAAAAGAACCAAAATTAGAACATAAAGAGCATGGGGGAATTTATAAAAAGGAGCTCAAGGAAATTACAATAATGGCACAAGAAAATTACGATAAGGAACATGAAATTTTCCTATAATTTAAAAGCAAGGTTTTGCTTTAAAAAGTTTAATCCTTGCACAAATTCTAACAAATTTTTCCTATAAATGCCCCCTTTTTATTTATATGAAACTTATTTAAATAAAAATATTTATTAAAAAAATTTTGTTCACCTTAAAATTTAGAGTCATTATAGTCAACAATACTATCTAAGACCAAATTTATTTCTAGTAAATAATGTCGCAAAATTTATGAAGTTTAAAAGGACAAATGAATAAATGACAATGATTATGAAAATTAAAGAGACAAAAACTTCATATAAAATATTTCAAAATCTTTGAAATTAGGAAATTTTATATAGCCATAAATGAAATCTTAACCATTTAATTTATAATATCAAATATCTTTATCGCTTGATCTTAAGAAGATAAATAAATAGAATAAATAAATATAGTAACATTTACTAATTAAACCAATAGAGTATGTAATCACCAAATAATTTTAAAATCATGATTCTAGGGACTTATCAAAACAATTAATTAATAAATATGGACACACAATCCATAAGAGTAAATAACTAAATGCGACTTATGCTACAAAGACAGATGGATACATAGTCCATGATGGTAACTGACTAGACATGGTCAAAGCTATAAAATAGAAGTGGATACACAATTCACAAGGGTAATTGACCAAACTTGGTCAAATCCATGAAACAAACATGGATACATAGTTCACGAGGGTAACTGACCAAACGTGGTCAAAACCACAAAACAAAAGTAGGTTTGAGACCCATAAATAATAGATATGAGAATAAAGCTCACGAAAATCAAACTAGCTAGTCACTGACCATGGTGCAATAAGGGCTAACGAAGCTATCGTTAGCGACCATTGTTCTGCATATAGTCCTTTCAAAATCAATTTTCAAACTATCACACCCCATACGAAAGGTGTGACCAACACAAATATGAGATAGACTCACATTCCTTAAGCCTTAATTTTCTAGAAAATCAATTCAAGATAATGATAAATAATTTATGTCTAATTAAAATTCATAAAGTCTTAATCATTTTGTAGAAATTTCGACAGTGCCTCCATTGTAATTAGAATCTTCTGAAATTTCTACAATAACAAAACCTGTTAGCCAAATCAAAAAAGAGTTTAGCTCCACAATAATAGATTTCACAATAATAAAATAAGACTAGAACCTAACTACAGTATATATGAAGCACTAACTTTTATTGTATAATGTAATGAATATTTACATCAAAATAAACTATTGAAGCATGCTTTAACTATCTAAAAAGCAATAGAGCCTCTCAATGATTAGCAAGAGGTACATGGTCAACTACATTATTTAAGATCAAAGAAATTTTTCTTTGAGTAGTGTCCCAATAAAAATAATAGATAAAACATGTAAAAGTAATAATTAATAAAACTTAGTATGCAACAAATGAAGGGACTATTAAAACCTATTTTTTATCTAACAATAAATGACAAAGTTGGTCAACAATATAACCATGAAATAAAGCAATAATTTTGGAGTTTTATAGGTTATCAAGAATCGTACAACTCATAAAAATATATATGAAAATAGAATTCAAATAATGATATAATAAAAAATTTTGTGAATAACTAATATAAAACAATAAATTTTTAAAACTAATATAGGAGGAAATTTGTAATAACCCTTACAAAATATAACAAAATAATAATAATAAAAAATAAATAATAAGATAATAAAACAAAACAAATAATGATAATAATAATAAATAATAAAATTAAAAAAATTAATTAATAATATCATATTTTGATTGTATTTTTTTAATAAATTTTGAGATAGTTATATTAAAGTGAATGAATAACTTGGTGAAAATTATTGAGTTTTTACTTGTTGCTTCAGAGTTCAAATGTTTGTGGAGCACAAAATGATGATGATGTTGATAATTATTATTATTATTATTATTTGGCTATTGCTTCAGCCTGTGAAATTATTGCAATGTTTTTGTTGAAATATATATATATATATATATATATATTGAGAGAGAGAGAGAGAGAGAATGAGGTGGGGGCGCATATCAGATGAGGACTGGATATTTTCCCCTCATCCTCTTCGATTCGGTTCTAGAGAAAAGAGAGGAGAGCTCCGTACCAGCCATCATTCCTCTCCCTCCATTCCAGTTCCTTCGGTGTGGGTTGTGCGACTACTATGATCTGCAGTGCAGAAAGCTTGGGTCAGGAGTTTTCATTCTTCTCCTATGGCGATTGCCGGCATCGACTGGCATCTCTGTCCGTGGGTTGAATTTGTTCAAATCTTCTTCTTCCTTTAGCTTCATTTCTCTTAGTCCACTGCTGGTGACTAGAGGAAAACGCCGAAATCCTCCTCCTTCAATGGTGCTATTATGTTCGTGCATTGGGATTCTTCCTCCCCTGCTTTCACGGTGAACTTCTCCTCTCCTTCCTCTGATCGAGCTACTGTGATATATTGAGCATCAGGTATTTCCTCTTCTCCTCCAGTCCTGATGCATAATCTCTTTTTCCTGTTTGTGTTTTAGCTTTGAATTCGGACATTCCTTGCCTTTTGTCTATCTGTCCTGTTGTTTCTATTAAGATGAGAAATCATGATTTTTTTATGTTCCTTGAGAAAAATATCTGTGCATGTAGTATAAGATGTGATAGAGTTGAAGTTGGATTTTTTCTCTTGAATTTTAGCTGTTGTTCATATCTATTAAAAAAACAAGGAGAAGGAGGAGGGGAGGGAGAGAGGAACTTAAGTTGGAAATTTATGTGCTCAAAACATAATTATGATAAGTATAAGTTAGAATTTTGAGTTAAAATATCTTTGTTAGGAATGGTTAATGTTGAAAAATTGGTTAGGATGGGATTTCGATAGAAGAACTCAGACATGAAATTTGTAGAATGGTGTCTATAAGATGTTTGATAAAATGCTTGAAAGATGGAGTTTCTTGATTGTGCATTTTCTAAAATTTCATTAAATTCTTTGAGAGACTAAATGGCTTGGATGCTATTATCTTGTGAATTGAGTTTGATATTATGTAGAAATTTGATCATAAAGATAATACAGCTATGCTTATTAAGAAATTGTTAGGCAAAATATGTGAATGTTAAAAAGCTTTATGGAGGGATTTGGAATTAATGTACATTTTGTGTTTCAATAAAAAAAATTTAGGTAATTTATAAATATGGAAGACAAATATTTTCTATAATAGAAGATTTGAAATTAGAGATTTTTGGAAAAGATATTTTGTTGGTGATTCAAGGCCAAATTGTTGTTTATATATATTCATCTTTGAAATATTTGTAGAGTGTTTGATGTGATGATTGAGAAAGTTTGAAGTTTATCTTTTATTTTTAATCATTTTTGGACTGAAGATTTTGAATGATAAGGCATATAAGAAAATGACAATGATATTAACTGGACATTAGGAACTTAGAGATAAAGCATAGATGCAAGAGTGCTAATTTGGAGTAAATTTTACATTTGAGAACATGTCAGGTAAGTGGATAGCATTCCAACTAATTTTTTTAATCAAAATTTCCTTTGCTAAAATATTACATTTTTCTGCAAATTATTTTAATAGTAATAATGTGATTATTGAATATTTGTTGATTACAATTACTTTATTTTGAGAAATTATCTTTACTAGATTTGAAATGTTATTTGATCAATTAAAACAAGTTTGGACTTTGATTATCAAGTTTCTTTTTATTTTTTTATTCTATCAAATATTAGATTGATATAGAAAATGATTTATGCAAGTTTAATATTGAAAATAAAAATTTTATTTAATTATTTTCTTGCATGTTTGCAAATGGATTTGGAGGGAATTTTATGCAAAACATTGGTTGCTAATGGCAATTCCGTTCGCCCTTATCACGCCATGGTTAATGACTAGCTATTTTGATTTTCGTGAGCTTTATTCTCATGTTTGTTATTTGTGGGTCTCATATTCATGTTTGTTTCATGGCTTTGAGCCATATTTGGTTAGCCTCATCCTCGTGGAACTGTGTATCCATGTTTGTTTTGTAGCCTTGAGCTGCGTTTTGTTAGCTTCACCCTCGTAGATTGTGTGTCCATGTTTGTTTCGTGGCTGCGGCTGCCTTTGGTTACTTACCCTCATGGATTGTGTGTCTATGTTTGTTTTCATGGCATAAGCCACATTTAGTTATTTACCCTCGTGGACTGTGTGTCCATGTTAGTGAATTATTCTGATAAATCCCCCACATAAATAAATAAATAAATAAATATATGAATGAATTTTAATTAAGTGTTGATTTCATACATAATGATTTTTTTTTAGTAAATATTGTTATTCTTATTTGTTTATTTAATCATTTTAACTTGTCAAGATCAAATGCTAAAGCTATTTTATCGTTATAGATTTAAATGTTTTCATTACTGAAGTTATACAAAACTTTTATTTCCAGTTTATAAAGTCGTATATATTGAATTGCTTTCTCATGTAATTTATATAATTATTGTATTTTATTCATTGTAATTCTACAAAAATGTTATAGTTGGGATGTTATTAAGTAGAAAATATTTGGTTTTGTCTCAGATGTAGCTGACCTTATATCTCCGTCAAATCCTTGAAGGGATTTTGTTTTTGGGTTGAAATAGAGATGCTATTTTGGTTAATTTGTATTTTGATAGAAATTTATGATTTATATATTGTATTTTATAAATAATGTTTTAGATTTTTAAGTGATCGACATAGACTATAGTTAGAGTCTTGATCATTATATTGTGTTGTTTGGCTATTGTTGAGGAGTGGAGCTCCCTTTTTGTTAAATTGATATCATAAATTTGTGTTGTAAAACTTTGGAAATTCTATTTTTACAGGAAGTTTTGCTGAAAATTTTCTAAAAGTTGATGATTTGTAGTTTTTATAAAAGTATTGTATAGTTGTTTATTTATATTAATTACATATGAAAATTTTAGAATTAGAGTTTTTTTGAGTTCAGGCTTTCAAAATATGGAATATTATTCTTATGTTTCGTGCCAGTCTTGCCTTATTTTCTGGGCGTAACAAAATTTATCATATAAAATCATATACGATCAAACAACATTTTGTTTAATAGAATAAATTTAAAAATAATAAGTTCAAAAAAATTCACTTTTAGTGGGACTTTATCAAAATGATTAACAAGCGTAGATATACAGTCTACGAGAGTAGTAACCAACAATCATGGACACATAGTCCACGAGGGTAAGTAGCCAACAAACATTGTTTAAAGCCACAAAATAATCAGGTGTGACTAGAAGCCATAAAATAAGTGTAGGCATAAAGCCCAAGAAACAAGTGGGAGCATAATGCTTATGAATATCCATCCCTTCGTCCCATGCGTGTTGGCCTGCACACAAGACTAGCAACTCCTACAAGCACCCTGCTAGCTAAGTATATCATGGTGCGTCAAGAGCTAATGACACTATCGTTAACATTTAGTTTTCTAAACACAGTCTCTCTAATTAAAATTGAGTGTGCATGGAGTTGAAACATTCATTGAAAACTATTCTTTTTAAAATATAATATTCAACTATCAAATTTTCTTTTCAATTTTTTTTTCATGCATGAATCACCATGTTAACCACTCTCATATAAATTACAAAATTTAAATAACTGAAATGCTTAGAATAAATAGTCAGTTAATAACGGACCAAATCCAAATATTCCTTAATAATAGCATAATTCTTAATGAAAATAAAAAAAAATTATGTAATGAACTAATTAATATAAAAGTGACTTAAGTAAGAAGAATTATACAAATCATAAAAATATAATTAACAAGAATATTTATTCAACTCATGAAGGAATAATATAAAAATTTAAATAAAGAAATTCTATAAACACTCTGTAAGAAATTATTTGGAACACACCTACTTAGATAAAAGTTTGCCCAAGAATTCTAAAACTTGCTCCTTTTATTTTTCATTTTTATTCTAATAATGTCCTTAATTTTTTGACAAAATAAGTCATAATTCTAGAATCATTTATCAAATAATTTTTCAAAGCACTTAATGGGCATTTAAATTCAATCCAAACAATATTAAAGATAACACTCTAACTAATTATGTTCCAAGTATACTTAAGTTAGTTAAATCATTTGCAAATCTCAATTTATTCTCATACTTCCTTGTGGCTCATTTTCAATCATAAATCATAATAAATTATATCAACTATTCTTAAACTTCTTCTAGTCTTAAAAAAAAAAAAAAAAGATACAAGTATCCTATGTAATTATTTCTCCCACTTTTGTATTTTAAAAATTTTAATTAATAACTTGAGTCAAAACTTACATATACTTCTCCAAACTATAATATAATACTTAACAAGATTCCATTCACCAAATCTTTCTTTCATACAATTTAACAAATACCTTGACTTATCATTGACAAAATTATGATATGAGCAACCAAACAATTTTAATAATTCCAAGCTTTTACTTTTGCTAACCAAATTCTGTTCAGCATTATAGGGGAATAACGTCCAACGTGAACCAAAAGTACACCTCCAATTCACTCTAAAACTTCATGACTGCAACAATAAGGATTAGAATGTCATAATTCAGCAAGAGAAAGGAAAAGATCATCTGGTGCTGCTATAGAAACCAAAGAGGAAAGAAAAACAGCAAATCACCTCAACAAACTCAGTGACAGTAGCTACAAATCAGTACGAGGCCTGTTTTGAAGAAGGAGAAGAGAAGAGCTTCAGTCTTCTACAAGGAGAACAACTAGAGATTTCAACCAGCCAAAGAAAATAATCAAGCTACCCTACTCAAACACACGAAATTTTCAGCAGCTACGCAGAAAGAAAAGAGAAAGGCTGAACATGGGTATACACCTCTTCAGTCACAAAACAGAGCAGCAACAAGGAAGGAAATTCAACCTCTCAGCTGTGCAAGAATGGATGAGTAACAGAGGGACAAGGAAAGCATGGATTTCTGGCAGTGCGGAAAAAAACACACACGGCGAGACTACGCGACAGGAAAGAACAAAGACAAAGAATGCACGCCTCTCTCTCACTCACTCTGTTGTGCATTTTGACTGACATGGAAGGAGGAAGAATATAAAACATTTAAGTGGGTGGGAAAATTACAAGAAAGAACCCCATCAGATTTTTTTTTTTTTTTTGCCAGCCGCCATCATCATCATCATCTGTTTATAATATGAGACAAGGGTACTTTGGTACTTCTCCATACAAAATAAGCTAAACTTTGACTTAAATGAGATCTGAACCCTAGATTGTCATATAAATAACCAATATAAATTTCGAAGAATTACATTGAAGTATCACACAAGAAAATTAATTATTACAAAATTCATTGACAATTGAACTAAACTGGATTAATAATAAAATCAGTTTTCAATGGACTTGACAGTAATTAATTTTTCTATGCAGGACTTGATTGTAATTCTCCCTATATAAATTTCACTATGCTAATACTCCTCATATCTTGTAACTAAAATGATTAAATAAAATATCAATAAGAAAAGAAAATCATATAATTTAAATTATTGGGTCATTACACAAACATTTGAGAAAGATAATCACTTTTCAAAATATACATTCATCTTCTCAACATCAAAATTGTGATCAATCGTTGAAATATGAAAATTTTTAATTAATATCTCATAAATTCTTTCACTAATTTCCCTGATTATCTTTATCAAATAAAGGATTATGAGAATTGTAAAAAGCATTTCCATCAACCTTAAAAGTATATGTTATGACTTCAAGAGATGGGGTAATTTAACTAACAAAGGTAGTCAGTACTAGAAATATATATTAATACATAAAAATTATTTAAAATAATATATCTTGATTAAAATAAATTGCTAATAAATTGATTGAGATGTTATACAATTACTTAAAGTGTTTCCAAAATTCAAAGTTTATCTCTTACCACTTCAATCAAATTTTCCTTCCTTCAAATATCTTATAAAATTAAAATAAAATTTTAATAAACTTCCTACAAGTTCCGTATTTTGTTTTCAACGCCAACACAATGATAGTCAACTTTATTGATTTAAAGTTCCATAGGCATTATCATTTATACTAACCGAAAATTACTACCAAAAACTATAAGTTTTCAAGATACTAGATTTTGCACCCCATAGTCCCACCATATTTCTTTAGCCGTAATCCGTTTCCTCAATTTAGAACATGATTTCCACTTAGACTTTATGTCAGACACTTCATGCACGTGATTTCCAATCGAGTCAATAAAGCTTTTTAGTCAATGAATCTTTTACCAAACAATCTCTAAACAATCATAATTAGACTTAATCATCCTTTTCAAATTCAACTCCTCCCAACAATATGTTAAATTTAAAGAAAAATTCATTTCATACCAGACTTCCTCAAACACCAACTAGCCCATATATAGATAAAATGCTCATAAAAATATAACCTAGATATAATTGTCACACGCACACAATTTGCAATCATTCAAATAATTTACTAATAACTTCATAACCTAACTTCTTTACAATTCAAGTTCAGTTCACAGGATATTAACATACTAGCCATTTATATCTTCCAAGGAATTTAATGAAATTTTAGTAAATTCAAATTCAAATAAAACTCGCCTTACAGACATTTTACCGAACACCTTATGGATACCAATATTCAAGTTTTATATCTAAACTATTCTCTTTCAATGTCAGCCTAAAAATTCTTCAACTTCAACCAATCCAAACAAAATTGTTCAACTCAAAAATTATGACCCATATATATATATATATCATTATCAGACTTCAAGATTAATTTCTAGCTAAAATTGAATTTTTTCCTACCTAAACAGCACAAGTGTAACACTTGCCTTGAGTGTTATCCAAAAATCACATAATTCAAACAAACTAAGTGTGGTTAAGGAGTTGATCCTCTAACCAACTTAAGAAATAAATCATTTAAAACCTTAAAAATAATTATAGGTTCTACCTATAGCGCACGGAAGCAAGTTAGACGAAAATGGAATAAAAAGATGCTGTCATGACAGTAATTTATTGCTGTCATGACAGCCCTCCTGGGCCAACTTCCAGGAGGCGGTGTTCCGTCATTTGACCTCCGATTGAAATGATTTTAAAGCTCACACGTCACATTCAAAGGGTACTATAAGTGTACCAAATTTCAAAAAGATCCAACGGTCGGATTAAAAATTAGACATGTTAAAAGATTGACTATTTTTGCTGTCATGACAGCTAAAAAGCTGTCATGACAGCACTTCCGGACCAACTTCCGGAGTGCACCATTTCATCATCTGACCTCCGATCGGAGTGATTCTAAAGCCCACATGTCACTTTTAAAGAATACTATTAGCATACTAAATTTTGAAAAGATCCAACGGACGGATTGAATTTTGTGCAGGTTACAAAATCAACACTGTAGCTGTCATGACAGCAATTTAATGCTGTCATGACAGCACCTCCAGACCAAATTCCGGAGTGCGTCGTTTCTCCGTCCGATATCCGATCGACGTGATTCCAAAGCCCACACGAAGCTTATAAAAGGTTTTACTTGTGACCCAAATTTTAGAGAAATCCAACGGTCGGATTAAGATTTGGACACCCGGATGCAAAAGTGCAGCTTTTTGGTAAAAACCATTTTCAAAATTGTCCAAATCCCATCCTAATGGTCACAAACCTGTGGAAACACTTTGGACACGTCAAATAAGATTAAAAACACTTGATAGAACATTCAAATGATGGAAAACCCCCATACATCAAAATTTGACCACCCGGGTGCCATTTCCCAAAATGGACCCTAAACCCCCAAAATGCACAAATCATACAAGAGTGGTCACAAATCAATCCAAATACCATGTATTTATATAAATACATATGCTAAACATTTTCACTTGGCTCAGAGCTCCTTGTGGGGCCCACGCACCCCCTCTCTCTATCCAAGGTGTATGTTTGCCCATAGCACACCATTTGCAATGCAACCACTTTGCATTTGCTTATAAAATCACATATATAACAAAATAAAGATCTGCTTGTAATAGAAACTTGGTCTACTAAGTAAATCCATCAAAACCACACACCATAACCAAGTTTCCTAGCCACAAGTCTGCAAACAGACAAAAATTCATACACAAGCACACAATCCACACATATTCACACACACACACATAATCATATCCTACTGGCACCCTAATCTTAAATACATTACAATATATTTGCTCAAAAGAAAGGGGTTGCAGTTCTTTACAAATCACAAGCAAACCCCTAGCTTTGCTCTTTTCCCCGTCCACCACTGGATCCTTCGCCTGGACCTAGAATATTGAAAAGAAAGGGGTGAGACAACCACAGTCTCAGTAACAGTGAAATCTATATTGATTATTACAAAGTAAGCCATAATTAAATAAATGAATAATAAATTCAACATAGTATATAATTTAGCCATTTAAAATGCATGAATGCATGACCTAGGCCGGTATGGCCTTTCATGACCAACAGAATGCCCCCTGGCACTCTTTAACTCGCAGGTAAACCTTATACCTACTTGTACCTCCACAGGCACAAAACATAATCTAAGGCATGATCTAATCCACCGAACCGCCTATGCCCCTTCGACGTGAATCCTGAGCAGTCAAAGCTAACTCCCTCCCAGAGCCAGCCCGACTTACTCTCCATGTGAGGGCTACCTTGGCCTAGGCACTCAACCTCACACTTCATATGTCGGATTCCCTCCCCCACTGAGAGGTGTCGAACACTCAATACACTAACCACTTTAGTGCACTGAGCCCACAATACGTAAGACAACACTGAGTACTGACAGTGTGCCATAGAATATCAAAAATCCACACCTTCTCATTGGTGAACTCCCACCGAGATCATGCCTTTTACTCTTGTCTACCTTTCCTGAGTATTGACCATTCAACACTCTAAAGTAGTATAATATTTATAAATCTCATTTCCATAAAAACATTGTTATTAAACAATTAGAAAACATATTTGCACTATAATCAAAGTAGTACCCCATAACCCCTTATAAAGCACATTTAATCTTTTAAAACATGTAATGCATGATAACTAGTAATATTTATTCAAAAATAGCTAAAACAAAGTAATAAGAAATATAAATTCCCCTGTTACCTCAACCCTTTGGTACTAAAAGGGTTCCCCTTGTACAAAATAGGGCTCGGCTTGTTCCTTACTTCTCAATAAGTTCCACCAACAATTTTCTACAACATATAAGTGATCCACATCACTTATCATGACAAATAGTATTAATGAAGACTATAACTTATACCACACAACTTAGGTCAATGAGTCATAATCCACCCTAATGGTCCATATATTAAACCAACCATTCACATAGTATCACTTAACCACCAAAACCATTTATTAGCCATACTAGGCTAATTTTCAATTTATATAATTTTTTATCAATTAAAAACCTTCACTTAGTGTCACCAACTTTCACCATTAGCCCTTATAATGAAAACCAAACCTTAATTTAAATCTTATTGGGCTCAAATAGCAAAATTATAACTAAATCAATAAGCTTAAACCATTGAAGAGCAAAAACCCAATTTCTCAGGATTTATTTTGTGCCCAAAACACCTCTTTTCATCTAATTATCCACTCAAAATATTAGATCACTATATAGAAACTCAAAACATGCTCCCTAGGATCCAAAGAAACAAAAGCTTACAAGAATAAAGCCTTTGGAATCAAAATCCAAAAATCTCCTCTTCTAAAAATTGAAGAAAATCAAGAGAAAGAGAAGAGGATTGAAGTAGGGAGTTTACCTATCGTGTAGCCGAGCTCGCAACGGTCACAAAGACTCCTAGATCCGAGCCTAACTCCCTCTCTTTCTCCTTTCTTCTTCCTCTCTCTCTCTCTCTCTCTCACGTGTTTCCTTTCTTTCCTTGTTTCTTTTCTGCGTTCTGGTCTGATTTTTCATCTTATAAAAGCTGATTTAAAAGTTTGGGGAAAATTACAAGAAATGGCCCAACATTTTTTATTATTGCACAAAAGCCCGGGTCAACTTTGGTAATTTTTTCCATAGTTAAAAATCAAATAAAACTAAACTTTTGCTTAGTAAAATTCAAACTCTGGACCTCTATCAAATTATTCTAAATTTTAATTTAATTATAGATATTTTATTTTATTTTTATTTATTTTTTTAAATAAATTTGAGTCTTAAAATTTTTAGGATGTTACATTCTCCCCTCCTTTAAAAAGGATTTTGTCCCCAAAATCCAAGCTAATACATGAACCAAAGAGATAAACATACCTAGGGAAACAACTGTGGATATTCCTTCCTCATTTGATCCTCAGTCTCCCAGGTTGCATCTCCCGGAGCTGTCCCTTTCCAAATCACTTTTACCAACCGGATTGTCTTATTTCTAAGTTGCTTATCCTTAGCATCCACAATACGATCTGGTTCAGTCCGGTAGGTTAAATTCTCTTGAATTTCAACCTCCTCAGGTTTATCACATGCGACGGGTCTGGCTGGTACTTCTTCAATTGTGACACATGAAACACGTTGTGTAGACCCGCTAACTGAGGCGGTAATGCCAACTGATAAGCCACCGGCCCAACTTTCTTCAAAACCTCAAAAGGACCCATATATCGAGGAGATAACTTTTTAGCCCGAATTGAGCGTCCAACGCCCGTCAATGGGGAAACTTTGAGAAAGACATGATCCCCAACCTCAAAAGACAAGTCCTTACGACGATTATCTGCATAACTTTTCTGTCTACTCTGTGCTGTAAGAAGTTTTTGTTGGATCAATTTGATTTTCTCTGTGGTCTCATCTACCACATCCGGTCCCATCATTGTCCTCTCACTCAACTCATACCAACAAAGAGGCGATCTGCATCGTCTTCCATACAATGCTTCATAAGGAGCCATTTGAATACTGGCATGATAACTGTTATTATAAGCAAACTCTGCCAGAGGTAAATGCTTATCCCAGCTTCCCTGAAGCTCTAGGGCACACGACCTCAACATATCCTCTAATGTCTGGATCGTCCGCTCAGTTTGTCCATCCGTTTGTGGATGATAAGACGTACTAACTTCAGATCGTGCCCATAGCCTTTTGCATAGCTTGCCATAAATTTGATGTAAATCGAGGATCACGGTCTGAAACAATATCCCTCGGTACCCCATGTAGTCGCACAATTCCTTAATGTAGATCTCAGCATACCTATCAACCGTATAGGTGGTCTTGACCGGTAAGAAATGTGCTGACTTAGTCAAACGATCTACAATTACCCAGATAGAGTCAAAACTAGCCTGGGTCCTCGGCAAACCAGATACAAAATCCATTGAAATACTCTCCCATTTCCATTTAGGAATCTCCAAAGGCTGTAATAACCCCGATGGCTTTTGGTGCTCTATTTTGACCTTCTGACAGGTCAAACACTTACTAACATACTCTGTGACATCCTTTTTCATGCCTGGCCACCACCAATGACGCTGCATGTCATGATACATCTTAGTAGCACCGGGATGAAGGGTGTAGCTACTTCGATGTGCCTCATCCAACAATTTCTTTCGAATAGACTCATTGTTAGGAATACACACCCTATCCTTGAAAACCACATACCCATCATCACTAAACCAATAGTCCATTATCTCACCATTCTCGATGTCTTGACTTATTTTTAACAAAATCGGATCTTGAAGCTGAGCATCTCGTATCTCTTTCCAAAATTCATTAGAAATAACCATAGTATTAAGACTATTCAAAGAGAACTTAGTCATACCCAAAAAATTTTCAACCAAAGATTCCATCAATCTATGCTCCCGAACCATTAAATAGGCTACATGTAAGGTCTTGCGACTAAGAGCATCTGCTACCACATTTGCTTTCCCCGGATGATACTTAAATTCAAAATTATAATCTTTAAGAAACTCCATCCAACGTCTCTGTCTCATATTCAGCTCTTTTTGATCCACCAGGTACTTGAGACTTTTATGGTCGCTCATGACCCTGAACTCTGTTCCATAAAGATAATGACGCCAGATCTTTAACGCAAAGACCACCGCAGCCAACTCAAGATCATGTGTTGGATAATTCTCCTCATGCGGTCTAAGTTGTCTAGATGCATATGCCACTGCTCTCTCATCTTGCATTAGAACACAACCAAGACCCTTATGAGAGGCATCAGTATACACATCATAGGGCTTTTGAGGATCCGAAATCACCAATACTGGAGCTGTTGTTAACCTTTCTTTCAACTCAAGAAAAGCTGTCTCGCACTTATCATCCCAGATAAATGGCCTATCCTTCCTTGTGAGTCTAGTCAAAGGCATAGAAATCTGAGAGAAACCTTTGATAAAACGCCGGTAGTAACCTGCTAATCCCAGAAAACTACGGATCTCAGTTATCGATTTTGGTCTCTCCCATTGCATGACTGCTTCAACTTTATATGGATCAACTGCAATACCATTTGCCGACACGATATGTCCCAAGAACCTAACCTCTCTCATCCAAAACTCGCACTTACTGAGCTTGGCATATAGCTTATGATCTCGCAGAAACCTTAGGACAGTCCTCAAGTGTCTGGCATGCTGCTCCTCATCTTTAGAGTAGATCAGTATATCGTCAATAAAAACTACCACAAACTGATCCAAGAAAGGTCGAAAAAATGCGGTTCATATAGTCCATGAAAACCGCAGGCGCATTAGTCAGCCCGAATGGCATAACCAAAAACTCATAATGACCATATCGAGTCCTGAAAGCAGTCTTTGCCACATCCTTCTCACTAACTCTTAGCTGATGGTACCCTGAACGTAAATCAATTTTAGAGAAAATCGTGGCACCAACCAACTGATCTAAGAGATCATCGATGCGAGGCAGTGGGTACTTGTTCTTCACCGTAACCTTATTCAACTGCCTGTAATCGATACACAATCTTAAACTACCATCCTTCTTCTTCACAAATAAGACAGGAGATCCCCAAGGAGAAACACTAGGTCTAATAAATCCCTTATCTAACAGCTCCTCAAGTTGCTTCTTCAACTCAGCTAACTCTGAAGGAGCCATTCTATAGGGAGCCTTTGAAATTGGCTGAGTCCCCGGTACCAAGTCAATTGAGAATTCAACCTCACGTTCTGGAGGTAATCCTGATACATCCTCAGAAAACACCTCTGGGAACTCCCTAACAACCTCAATTTCATCCACTATACCTGTCTCAGACCCTTGGGTAGCGAGCACTACCACGTAAGCCTCAATCCTGCTCAATCAACCTTTCAACTTGTAAAGAAGAAAGAAAACAAGAATGACCAGGGTATTCTTTGATCACCTCCGGTACTTCTACCAAAGTCACTGTCTTAGTCACACAATCTAAGACAGCACCATAAGCTGTCAACCAATCCATACCAATAATTAAATCAATCCCTTGCATAGGTAATTTGATCATATTCACCCAAGTCGATCGCCCATTAAAAGTCATCTTAGTCCTACACACCACACTGGATCGACCAACCTAAACCAGAAGTAGAGGAAACTTCTATATCATGGGGCAACTGGTCAACAGGCATAGCCATTCTATCTAAGCGCTCGGCAGAAATAAAAGAATGCGTCGCACCACAATCAAACAAAGCTTCTAAATCGAGGCCACAGATAGAAACCATACCAGTGATTAGATTCGATGACTTCCTAGCCTCCTCCTGAGATACTGTATACACTCTACCAGGAATCACGTTCCTCCGGTCCGAGCTCTCATGTAAATCAGGGCAGTCACGGATCAAATGGCCTAACTTTCCACACTTGTAACAAGCAAAGCAGCGACCAAAATGAACCCTACCACATCTATTGCAAGGTGACCTCGCTGTGTACTTAGAATTGGGGCTTGACTGGTCTGTGAAGAACGTGCTGGAGCATTCCCAGAGAAACGAGAACCCCCAGATCTCATATTACCACCCCGATTACCTTGAAATCTTGAACCCCTATTTAAATTTCGATTACCAGAAGCAGAAGAAGACCCGATTCTAAAGGAGCCACTAGAAGAAGAACCAGAGCTAAAACCCATTCTCTTGGATACACCACCAGTAGGAGCTAACCAAAAGAAAATCGACCTCGTGTATCCCTACTCCGGCTACTCTCTGTGTCTCGGCCTCGACGAGCGGCAATCCTCAGACGATTGCACATCTCATCATATGTCGCCTCGCCCAACAAAGATAGCTGCTGGCGGTATTCTGGCCTCATCTTTTCTAATAACCTCTTTGCTTTCCACTTGCTATCATTAGAAGCCTTCAGATATGTTGAGAACTTAGACAGCTGATTGAATTTTCTTATAAAAGTCTCCTCGTCTAAGTCCCCCTGCTGAAATGCATGAAACTCTGCCTCTTTCTCATCTCTGAAAGCTGGCGGAAAGTGAAAATCATAAAATCTTTCTTTAAATTCATCCCAAGACATAGATCTTCCATCTGTGGGCTTAACAGAATCCCACCAATGCTTGGCTTCACCAACAAGCTGCATCGTAGCCAAGATAACCTTCTGCTCAGATGTACACCTCACAACAGTAAATAACTGCTCCATCCGATCCAACCACTCTTCAGCTTTCCCATCAAGCATACTACCATCATATGTAGTCGGATTAGAGCGAGAGAATTCCTTCCAAGGTTCAGATATGTCATCCTCTCGATTATTAACAACTGGTGCATGAGCTCCCATAGTACTAGAAGATCCCTGCCCAGCACTTAGGTCAACATGCTGATCTGGAACAGTATGACTTCTAAGATTTTGCTGTATATCCACCATAACTTCAAGCAGCCTAGCCATGACTGCATCTGTCCCCTGTGGTGGTGGTGGAGGTGGAGGCGGAGGTGGAGGCGGAGGAGGTAGAGGTGGTGGTCGTTCCTCATTCCTCGATCTACCCCTTCCCCTTCGAGCCATATTAGAACTGAAAG